TACAGAGATTAAATCTTCACTTAAATAACACTGACGTGGAATAAATTCCATTCTTCATTACTACACTTAATGAAAAGAATCATGTCTTTTATTTTAAAAACAGGAGAATTCGTAATGTTTTACTTTATGTAAATGCAGTTGCATACAGTTGCACTAAGAACTCAACGCAACTCGATACACAATAGTATATATACAAATAAACTGAAAAATAATGTCCTCCTTACCTTCTGAACAACTTGCCCTTATTCCAGGATTATAATTTTTTCACCTATGAGCCTGAGTTATGTCTACGAAATAGCAGAGAAAGGATAATGGCACAAATGGGGCAGCCTGTCGACGGACGTAATTTTGAGTGACCGCGAATGAGATAAACAAGCGATTTGCTCACTTGTGATTGGCCAGTTTGTCATTCGAGTTGAGGTAATTTCAAACATCATTTTGTTACTTGGTTAAGTTATGAATTTCCAGGAGTGTTTTATCAAATTGGATAGATAATTGACAACACAAACTATTACAGCTCAGGAGAGAAATGATATACCAGTAGATTTATTTGCTGAATTTAACGAATTCATGCCAAATTACGATCTAAGGACTTCTCAGGAGTGCCAAGAATGCAAACAATGTCCTGAAGAGGTAATAACTTCACGCAACTTCAATTATCGCCTGACCATTATTTTCAGAGATCCTTAAATAAGCATGATATACACAGTGGTCTGGCTAATCATGATAAAAATGGCATGGTTGATGCAGCATATATGTATACTTTTGTATATGTAGGTAAACCTAGATGAACTGTGTTCTTGTCACGAAGATCGGAAAGCAGGTACCAGATGTCTCAGTAAGCAGTGTAATACATGTAAGTTACATGTTTTTATTTGACGTAAACTGGATCTCCACTCACTTTTAGAATTAATCTTAAATTCAGTTGGAATAAGCTTGTTGAGCACATCAGTATTGAGAGAATACAGTGAAAGTAAGTAAACACATGCTTCTTAAGATTAAGTGATACATTTATTTGATATGATTGTATTATTGTTAGTTGTCTATCTAAGTTAATGTTGAATTCGTTGCGACAATAATACCTATTATTGTTTTTATAGTCACTATGAACATGAATGTTATTGTTATTGCTGTCAAGACCTATTATTTGTCATAAAGTGGTTGTCATTTTTGCTAAAATATTTTACAAGCTTTGGAAACTACTGCGTAACTTGTCGTTAAATAATTTTATCATTTCATGATGCTTCGATGAACCCACTAGATGACAAACGATAAGTTGCGAAGTCCCTTAAGTTTAGTGAAAACTATGGGCTACTTATATACATATATATTGTTTGTGATTATTACTTGTAAATGCTTATCAGGAAAATTTTTTATTCAGTCATACATGTAATACCAAAGTTAATTATGCTTTTCTTAAACCTTTTCAGACTATGTAAAAACATATATGTGCCGTGTACGCAGATGGAACTTACTAACGGTAACAGAGGACTACTCATCTGAATTATCTGTACATTTGAAATCTGATTTTTGTTTAATAAACAATTTTTCAATGAATCTGTCTTCCTTCTGTTGTAATGCGATTGTGTTCCAGTAACATAAGTAGCACGTGCTAAGTTAGAAGTTGAGGGTAAACTGTTAGGAGTAAATGCGGGTCTGGAAACTTTTGTTTACGTGATTATATGAGCAGATAGCAACGTATCGTGTTCTTTGGCTGAGATCCCTAGCATTCTGTTTTTTAATAATTACGATGACCGTAGTTGCACTGAGTCATACATCTAACAGCATAGGTATAGTCTCTCCCATGGTACATTACGGCATGCAGAAATCACAAGCAAACTATCTCAGTAGATTTATTTTCGCTTGTGGCTATTAATCGTGAATCAGTATAACGTATTCCGCCAAGACAATAGATAACTCGAAACGCTTTATAATCGCAATACCTCCTCTACGACTTAGACATATTTACTTT